TTAAGAATGCTACATCCAGGCAGAATAACCACAGGCAGATTGATATAATAATGTTTATTGAGGCTCTATATGTGAAAGTAATCAAGTAACAAAATGATTGGAAACATTTGAAAGAGAGTGACTATTTGGTAAAGATATTTCTGAATTAGGAATGATTTTTGTCCAGTAAGTTTGAAACCTGATATAAGACAGCATATGTCAGTATAAAATAGTTTCAATATTTCTTAATCCACAGAAAAATATCCATTTCAAACTAATTCACCCAAAATAATAAGCTCTATAACATCAGATATTCTGAATCATGATTCAGTAACACAATTACTTATTTTTAACAAATGCTCTCATTTTTTTTCTTTATTGTCTTCAGTAAACATAGATCCTCATAACTATATAATACGTTATAGTGAGGATAGAATTAAACCTCAAAATGAAATTAATTTCTTCAGAACTCTTTAAAAAATTACATGTGAGAAATGGTGCTTGATCTAAGTTTTATTGTAGTTCTAGTAATTACTGTAAAGCTCTATGGGATCCGTATGTAAAACAAATATGTGGTATTAAGATGCTTTATAAGTGGACTGTACAGACCTGGCTCTTGACTACATATAATATATAGGTGTAATTTTGACCTATGACTTCTACATTGGAAGAAATGAACTCCTGCCTACTCCCACCTCCACCTTATTTCAGAATCAGTGCTTCAATTCAGCACCACTGCAACCCAGTGTGAAACAAAACAAACAAATCCCAGCTGTGCTGCTCCCAAGAGAGGTTTTTCCAGAGTAATGTGAGGAGGCATGCCAAGCCATGCCAAGATCTTAGACCCAGAGAGAGATCAAACAAACAAACTAACAAACAAAAACGGGAAAAGTTAGGGTTAGAAGATTGAGCTTCCATCAGAAGCTATATTTGTCCAAATTCTCTCAAAGAAGGAAGAGAAAATTAGTCATTATCTTTTATATGTAAACTAGAGGCCCAGTGAATGTAATTCATGCATGGGGGAGGGGGGGCGCGCCTCAATCCAGCCTGCACCCTCTCCAATCCGGGACCCCTCGGGGGATGTCCGACTGCCGGGCTGGCAAGGGAGAAAGTTGGGGCGTCAGACATCCCTCTCACAATTGGCAGTTGGACATCCCTCTCACAAACCAGGACTGCTGGCTCCTAACCTGTCTGCCTGCCTGATCGCCCCTAATTGCCCCCCCTGCCAGCCTGGTCACCCCTCACTGCCTGGTCACCCCCAACTACCCCCACCGCCAGCCTGGTTGCTCCCAACTGCTCCCCACAACCGGCCTGGTCACTCCTTCTGACCCTCCTGCCGACCTGGTCACCTCCACTGCCCCCCTGCTGACCTGGTCCCACCTAGTTGCCCCCCCCCAGCCGGCCTGGTTGTCCCCAACTTCCCCTGCTGCCAGCCTGGTTGCTCCCAACTGCCTCCCCCTCCTGGCCTGTTCACCCCCAACTGCCCCCCTGCCAGCCTGATCTCCCCACGCAGCTTGCTGTTCAGTCATCTGTCTGGTTGTTTTGGTCATGATGGCCCCTTGCTTTTTATATATTAGGACTAGAGGCCCAATGCACGAAATTCCTGCAAGGGGCTTGGCCCTCACAGTCCTGGCTGCCACCACCCTCTGCGGGGCAATCAATTGCGGAGCACCCCCTCCCCCATTGATTGCCCCGCAGAGGGTGGGACAGCCCTGGCCTCATGGCCCTGGCTGCCTCAAGGCCCCGTTGTCTCACTCCTCACCCACTGGTTGTTCTGGAAGGTCATTCCAGAAGGTTGTTCTGCCATCTGGTCTAATTAGCATATTAGCTCTTTATTATATAGGATATGTATATGTGTCTTATAGTTAATAAGTGGACTTTGGTCTGTGAAATATATAAAAATTTAGACAAAGTTGAATGTATCCACAGTTTTACTGTCTATAAGAATAACTTAAAAATTAAATAAATGATGAAATCCAGGTTATAAGGAACCATATATACTACTTAAGGGAACAAAATTTATCAACATCCTTAGTAGTTGGAAGCACATTCCAAAGGGATCTGTTATTAAGATGATTGTAATTATCAAGGTACCTTAAAGATCTGTAAAAAATATACCTTGGTTGATATCTTTGAGGTACTATGAATACTAAAATGTTTAATTGCTCTGTTTAAAACATTGTGCTCATATTTTCCATTAATTCAGGCTTTTTACTGAATTTTTTTGTTAATTCAAACTATCTCTAGGCTCATCCCATGGATAAAAGTGTTTTCCATTTCATTTTTGTCCTAAGGCTTTCTTTTGTTTTTATTATCTGAAATGCTTTTTTATATAAAAATAATTTGTACAATGTGTATTTTAAGAGCTTTGTCACCATTGTTTTTTAATACTTAACCATATTGTAAGCTCCTTGTGGGCAGGACCCATGCTTTGTGTATATCTTGTACCTGTAGAGTCCAGCACAGTGCTAAGCACATAGAAAGTGCTCAATAAAAACTTGATGGAAAGTGCAAGTGCCCTGACTACAGTCTCCGTGAGTGATGTGTAAGACGACTAGGCGGAGACACTATACGTAAGGGTCAAGAGTTGGTTTTCTATTTATTTCTCCTCTTTGATGTTGGGCCATTTTGGTCAGCCTTTAAATTTGAGCATATAAGAGAGTCTTCTTAGACTTCTTGAAGAAAACAACTGTAAATATTTGTTGATTATGGGATGATTGCTCTTAGAAAAAAAATAAAAGCGATAAATATATTCCTGTGTATAAAATAACGTGTCTTTTAGTCAATGATGTCATTTCTTATCTTGGCATGGGAGCTGAATTTCAACCTTCCACCCACAGGTGTATGCAGCAGACAAAACTGAGAAAGAATGTCACAGGCTACTGAGAGTGACCTTGAAAATTTCTATATTTAATCTCACTTAGCCTCCGTGTCCTTTTTTATAAAAGAGAGTTAAGCCTACCTTTTAGATTTGCTGCAAAGGATAAAGATGATATGTATGATGCTATTATTTTAAAACCACTCTAAATTCCCTGCGGTAAAATAGGATCCCCAAAAAAGTCATTTACAGAAAGCCTCAATTATAAGTGGTTGAAATTTGGATCTGAGAGACAGGAATTATGCATATGCCAAAGCAGCACATGGTATAAGAGCCCCAAATTTTACTACCAGTTCTTTGCAAATCTCCAACTATCCTTTAAAGGATTAACTTGCATTATTATCAGCCAGCTGGTGAACCAATGGGATTTCCTCTGCAGGTGCCAGCAAGACTATTTCTGCCAAAATATGAGAAGGTGATTTTGAAATAAAACTTCCTAGAGCATAACCTACATGCAAGAGCTTGCAAAGTTAAAGAGGAAAAAGCCTGAGGCTAGAGTCTCCATTAATATTCAGAGAAGGAAGTGGGCTATGAGATAAGAAGGAGCTGAAAAGAAGTAGGAGAGTTAGTTGCCAGTGAAGGCTACGTCATCTGAGCCTGTTTCAGGATGGTCTCTGGACTGAGTTGGATTACTGGGACCAGTTGGTATTAAGACTGTCTCCCAGGGAACCTGTTCATGAAATGAAGAGTGGGGTTTTTCGGTCGGTATAGGGCCAGCATATTAGGGTTACAGAACCCAGGGGTTGTGCTACTCTTAACTTATCACACAACTATACCATATTGCAAAACCTACCCATTGGTAGGTGGGAAAATGACAGATGCTAAAATGAAACTCGTGGAGATTTGATGCAGCATTTCCCAAACTTGCCTAATCATATTAATTACACAACGTTTGTAAAAATAGAAAATACTGGTCTTTTCCCTGGAGGTCATGAGCCAGAAAAAATCTGGCAGGGGACCTGGGATTTTATATTTCTTAAAAACAAGTTCCTTCCAGGTGATTTGTTTCATCAGGGAGGCTTGACAACATTTATGTAGTGTAGTGGTTCTCAAAGTATCATGCCTGGACTGGCAACATTAGCATCACTTAGGAATAATTTTCAATAGGTAGAAATGCAAAATCTTTGGTCCCACTCTGGACCTTACTGAATCAGAAACCCTGGAGCTGGAGCCCAGGAATCTATGTTTTAGATAATGCACACTAAAGCTTGAGAACTACATTTCTCAAATGTGGCCCAGAGAGCTGGAAGTTGGGAGTGTAGCTGCAGTGGAGGAAGGTCATCTAGTTCAGCGGTTCTCAACCTGTGGGTCGCAACCCCTTTGGGGGTCAAATGACCCTTTCACAGGGGTCACCTAAGACCATCGGAAAACACATATATAATTATATATTGTTTTTGTGATTAATCACTATGCTTTAATTATGTTCAATCTGTAACAATGAAATTGGGGACCACAACATGAGGAACTGTATTAAAGGGTTGCGGCATTAGGAAGGTTGAGAACCACTGATCTAGTTCCTATTCTCCTAGGACTAGAAAAGACATCACTCAATCCAGTAGCTGACTGCTGTTCTTCTCCTGACATCACTACCTCCTTTTCTATTTTCTAAGGAGTAGCTTGAGTTTGTGGATCCCATTTTGTTTCCCAACTTAGCAGAATCCTGGCTTCTAGAGGTTTACAATCTTTGGCATTCATTGGCTTGTTAGGCAAGACACATCATCCTACATAGTGTTCTCTCCTGTCCAAATGTCCCCTTTTTATAAGAACACCAGTCATGCTGGTTTAGGGGCCCACTCAACTCTAGTATGACCTCATCTTAATTCATTGCATCTGCAAACACCCTGTTTTCAAATAAAGTTACAACTTGTGGTCCTGGGGGTTAGGAATTCAACATATTAATTTGGTTTGGGCTGAGGAACACAATTCAATTCATTACAGAAAGGTTGATTGATCTAGGGAGAAAGCCAAATCTAAACTCCAAAATCATAAGATCCAACATGATATAGCTTCTGGAATTTAACAGGTTTATGGACTGAATAAAAAATCTCAATAATGCACACAACCCTTGGCTCCAATTAAGAAAGATAACTCGAAAGTGGTCAGATTTCTAATGCTGAAATAGCTGCAAGTTTTTCCTACAAACAAATAAACAAACAGTACACATTTCATAAAGCAGGTGGTGGGGACGATAATCAAATTTGACTAAAACCAAATTGCTCTATTTATTTTGGGCATGAGGTTTTAGGAATTCTTACACTTCCATTATGAACACAGGTTGATTTCACTGCTTTGAACACTCAGATTTCTTTTCTGGTAGTTTTTAAATCCCAGCAATAAACTCATCTAATGGTTGAAATCTGAAGGGACCCAGATGCTACCTATTTGAAAAAGGATGATTAAGGATTTTTAAAGTTATTTGAACAAGAGGGCATTCACGCAGGTATGTGATGGTACTCCTGAACACAGATGGTAGTGTTGGTCCAGTTATTGCCTTCTTGAGTCAGGCTTGCTTATTTGGGACTTTTATTTACAGTGTTGTGCCTATATGAAGACAAACTTACAAAAGAGCATAAGAATACCGTAAGTTGGGAAACCAAGTATACAAAAGGGCATAAGAATCTGCTTTATCTGCTAATAAAAGTATCATCTTGGGTTTCAGGTCAACTGTCTCTCATAGTCCCTCTGATGTCCAGTCCAGTGAATGAAATCCTCTTGATTGTGTGCTACTTGGGTGCAGGAATCAGAGAAAAATGTGAATACATATGGTGCAATTCCAGTTTGTGCTTTGGCAGCTTCCAAGGGCTCACACAGAACAATGTTCAGTGTTTGTTTCTTGTGCATACATTGTTGATCTGATCCTGACTTCTAGGTTGTGCTAGTAAAATTCCACTGACTACTTTTTCATTTCATCACTGTATTTACAGCCTCCTCC